AGTTTATTCCTCGAGAGATATTGCATTTTTATGATTTTTTTTTCATACAAATCCCATGGTCCTATTCAGGAACATTAAGAAAAAGCATTTTCGAATTTCGAATCACAATTTTGCATAGAAATAAATCTTACTGAGAATAGTTTATTATAAAAGTTTCAGATCTTTTCGTTGTTCTTATCCTAAGATACAGCTATGCTAAAAGTGTATTCTTTTACGTTAGTCATATACACTATTAATTCGATGTTTTTATGTCAGGATAGAAACAACGAAAGAATCTGAAACTTTCACAATAAATTATTGTCATAAATATCTGTCTTTGTGCAAAATTTTGAATTGAAATTTCGTTGTCAGACGATTAATTAGTTGTAAAGCTTCCTTTGTACGAGATAATCTATTGTAAGAATAACGGCACGTTTCTTTGCATCTCTTCTTTGAATATCATATAATACACTGAACGAAATACTGTTCGAAACGATTTATTAGGAACAATTTTATTGATTAATTTTTTTAGAATATTCTTATGTCTATATTTATTCATATCCTTTTTTGTTCGGAATCGATCTATAAATCCGATGATTTATTTCTTCAGATTCAATGAACATGTATTATACACGATCGAAATGTAAGGCCAAAAATTTGTAGAAACCTATGAGATCTTTAAAAAAAGAATTTCCGCTTGCTTTGACATAGATATGAATATACCATTCTTTCTTCGTAACCTTTTATTTTTATGGGCATCATTTTTTTTCTAGACGAATCAATTGAACCACCAAGACGAATTCAAGCTACTGCTGATACACAATCAAATACAGTACGTGTTTCATGGGAACCATTATCCTCAATAAATGCAGCTCGTGGCTATCGAGTACTTATTGATGGACGTCAAATATTAGATATAACTAATCCATTAAGTAGGATTTAATAATATTTGCTTTCTTTTTTTTTTTATTACTAATGGATGTTTTTTTTTATATTAGATGATCATACTGTAATCAATATGAATATATTACATCATGGACGATTTTTAACTATTCGAACTTTGACTGACAATAATGGTGAATCACATGACTCAATGCCTATCGATATTGATGATGTTTTAAAAAAAGTAAAAACAAGCAAAAAAATATGATTTTTTATTTTATTTCCTAGGGCATCCCCTAAAAAATGTTATCTTTCCTGGAGAATATGAAAATTGAGATAAATATATGGAAAAATAATCAGAGGTCTGATGTTTCATAATTTGCTTCAAAAATATGGTCTTGTTTCCGATAAAATGGAAAATCTTTTTTGCTTTTTCTTTATTTGTGTCTTTATTGATCGTGCATCTCAGAATTCTCGAAGGAGCTTCATTGTAACCAATGATTCTTCTTTCCTTAAAAAGTAAGAAGGTAAAAATAAAGGACTCTGCCATGTCCTGCATTCTGACATATTCTTTAAAAACAAAACAAAAAACTAAGTCTATAGAATGAAGACTCACAAATAATTTCAGTTGCCAATTAAACTATTTTTGACCATCGTTAGTTGAATATCTCTCTTTATATTGTCCTTTGCTGTTGATATATATATATATATATATATATACATTATTGACATTTTCCCAATAAGCAATATATCTTATCGTTGAATTTCTTTTAGACTTCTCATCCATCATCAACAATTTCATCAGAACCACCAATACCTATTATTTCCTCGCCGCTATTAAAATTAGCAACAAATGGAAAAGAAACAACTAAATCCTTAACTCGATCACCATTAGAATCTCCTTCAGCAACATCATCAATAAGTACAGATATACCACAAATTGAATTAAATTCAAATACTCCTAAAACAACATCACTGAATAAATTTACATTTAAACCACATGATATTTCGGATTCAAATCGAATTCGAACAACAATCAATGAAAATTTGAATATGAATAAATCAACATTATCGGAAGAACAACGTTCAATTCCAACGATACCAAATAAAAATGTACGATTACAAAGATCATCAAGAATAAATAATCATTTACTTGATAAAACTAATACTTCACCACGATTATTTATTGCTTTATTTGATTATGATCCACAAGCAATGTCACCAAATCAAAATAGTGACGAAGAATTACCATTCAAACAAGGACAAATTATTAAGGTTTGATTATATATTCTAAAATACGTAGAACAGAATCGGATCTTTTCGTTTACAAACTCGATTGTTATTCAATGTTGCACTTAGAAATTCTATACAATAGAACTGAAATCTATCTGAGTTTTCTAACAGAATAATTCAAAAGAGTTATCTTTCATTTGTTAATTCTTATGAAAGATTACAATTTATAAATGACAGTTCAAAAATCTTTGCATTTCGATCGCGCCTGTCCCATTCTCAAAAAAGAAAATTAATTCTTCTAAGAAAAACTACTTAAGATAAATTTGTAGACATAAACCATATGATGTCTAGTTTTAAGACCCATAAATTTGGTTTTTCCTTATAAAAAGTTTCTTCGAAATTTATGACAAATCTCTAGATTTCTCTATCGAAAAAGCTAATACCGTAATAAATAACTCAATTAGTAAGAAGAAAGCCACTTGATACAATTCAAGTTAATCATATTTGATGCTGATGACGGAAAATTCTTTAGATGAATATACAAATAAATGTTCATGCATTTTTCTCGAAACTGACAAAATCTAAATAAAATCTTTTTCTATATTGTGTTGTTCAAGTGTACTGTAGTTTTTATCTTATTCGATAGATCAATACATTCTTTTTCGAATGACGAAAAGGGATTTTGTATTTGACACTGAATATCATAGGAACTATGAATTTTCTAGAAAGTTTTCAGAATTTTAAGGGTTCTAGACATGAAGTATAATATTAATTAAAAATGTTCTTTTTCTCACCCAAAGCTAAAAGAAATTTTCTTTTAAATGAGAACATTCTAAGTACTATAACTTGAAGTTTATTTAAAAAAAAAACATTTTTACCCTGGAAAGTCTAGTTTTGCATATTGGCCCCTGGATATATTCTGAACGGTAATGCTCGGAGCTATGAAACTTCTTTTGTTAGTGTACTTTGATTAACTGAATATCTTCAGAGTTTTTTTTTGAAAGTTCCATGTATTCTATCAAAAATTAGAAATAATATTTAATTAAATATCTATGTATTTTAATTTAGATCTTTGGTGATCAAGATGCTGATGGTTTTTATATTGGTCAAACAGACAATGGTCTTACTGGTTATGTTCCAAGTAACATGGTCTCAGAAGTAGAGGCTGCTGATTCTGAAAATGAATCAACTATAACCACCGGTATGGTTTTAAAGTATTATATTGAAACACAATCTAAAAAGAGTGTTGAAGTATATGAGTAATAATTTTGACCCTCCACATATCCTGACAGAATTTAAAAAACCAAAAAACAATAAGTACTGTTACATTAGTATGGTTATCTGTATGTAGTACATACAGTCCTCGATCTACCGACGTAAATCAAAAATTTGAGCAAAACTTTGTTTTTTCGATGATGAATTCCTATTCAATATTAATAAACGTATGGTAGTAGTTTATAGTGATAATATTCTATCACTCAGTAGAGTTTTTGAACAGACGCATCGTTTTAAAGAATAGATAAATCATCATTGATATATGAATGATGTATAATTTTTCAAGTCTTATCAAATGCGACATTCATCTTGAACAGATTTTAGTCATATGTAATTGATTATGTAAAATACAATGTATCATGCATTTGAAATGCTCAACATCAAGGATCATCGTCAATATTTAATTGTCCATATTTAAAACTATAATTTCATTCAGAAACTATAGTGTATGATGAAGTATCGGTCACTATAAACTATTATCATGCGTTCATGAATATTGAATGAGGATAGGCCTTTCCATGCTAGAAACTTTATCACTAAAGAATATTCAAATTTTAAAATTCTCGGTCAATGTATTGAGTAATCTCAAAAGTATTGCTACAGCTATGTGTAAATGCTTAATCGATCAGAGTTTATGACGCCTATAGATCAAGGACTGTATGAGCTATACATAGACAACAATATTAATACAACAGTGCTTTTTTTTTTTGATTTTATATATAATCAGTCTGGAAAATTTTTCAATGATCCTTGTGAATGAAATTACTTATTGCATCTGTGAAGAATTAAATAACACGATAGTGAAGAAGTGTATCTAAGATTATGCTAATAACTTTCTTTTATATTTTCTTTTTGTTTTGAAGTATCATCAAAAGGACGAACATCATCTGTATCGGCACCAAAAAGTCCAAAATTGATTAAAAAAATGGTTGCTTTATTTGATTATAATCCAAATGAATATTCACCAAATGCAAATTCTAATGATGAATTATCATTTCATTCTGGTGATATAATATATATACATGGAAATATTCATGATGATGGATTTTATTCTGGTGAATTAGAAAATGGAAAAAAAGGTTTTGTACCATCAAATTATCTTGAAGAAATATCTGATGAAAATACAATAGAAAAACCTACTGAATCACATGAAAAAAAAGTAAGTTAAAGTTTCCTTTTTAAAACAAAAAATAGAAAAAAAAAAGCTAAGGTGATGGGTTATATTATTTATAGAGATCATCTTTTCGTCGGTAAGAATTTTATTGTTGTTGAACTACTTTGTTTTCTTTTGCTTATTATATCGAATTAAAGTAACATTTTATTTTATTTTATTTTGTTTTTTTTTTTTTCTTTTCTAGGAAACACCAACAAACGTGAATGATAATGAAACGACGACAACAGAAAAAATAGTCGAACAACCACCACCAACTCCTCCTACTGAAGCTCCAAAACTTGGTTTTTTCGACCGTTTTAAAAGTACATTTTCATGGAATTTAAATGAACCGATTTAAAAAAAAACGAAAGAAATATTTGCTCAGGTTTTTACCCGGTATTATTTTTCTGTAATTAAATTTGTTTTCTAAATTTTATTTTGAAAGAAAAATACTATGCGACAAACGAACAAAACTTAATTATTTATTATTTCGATTATGTTCATAATTATGTACTATATTTTGAAATAATGTTGGAAAACGTTCCGGTAATAATAAACGTTCAACATGTGTTGGAGCATTATAACGTATAGGAACTTGTGGAAATGTAACAAGAACATAACGACTAATTAAAAAGAAAAGTCTATATATATATAATTTCTTTTTATGACAAATATTCTTTAACCTGCATTTCGATGGAATCGATACGACACGTTGTGAACCAATAAATACAGGAAAGTCAGACATAGTAGATTGAGACGATAATGGACTACAAAAAAAAATATTAAGTAGTTTTAAATGTTAACTCACGTCATTCAATTGTTTTATCAAAATATTCAAAAGAAAATTTATTACATGATGTCATTTCATATACATTAAGTAGATTCCTCTTTTTAGATGTTAAAATCAATTTAAAAAAAGTTTTTGATATAACTTTGAAGTGTCTTTTGCTAAACGCCATATAAATGAGAGTTTTTGGTTGTTAAGTAGTTTAGTACTTTTTTTTGGTAAACTCAACTCTGTAAATCCCTAGCAGAAAAACTAGCACTGCGATTATTCTTTGTATACGAAAATTCTCCTAATGATGATTGCTAACAATGCTGAGAACATAGGTTATGAACCTCTAACATCGCTGACACAACCAGTTTTTAATGACTTTAGTTGAAGAAAAAAGTCCTGATACATACAGAAAAGATTATTTTGCGTTTTTCTCAAAACCAATCTGTCAAAGTGGGATGTGTGCTGCTTTTTCTTCAACATATTGTTCCTACGAAATTCGGCAGTCTTTATAAAGCTTTAGTACTATTGAAAAATAAACATGCATTTCGATTTGATCCTAGTTGTCATAAAAGACTTGAAGCTTGAAAAATAAAGTATAAAGTTTTGCAAGTGGTGACAGAAGATAATGAATTTTCCGCCTTTGTGACTTCTATATCTTCCTGAAGGAAGCATCTGGGAACTTTTGCTCTACTTATCGAGACGTATCTGTCTTGAAAATTTCAGTGTTTTATCGAGCTATTCTTGAAAAACTTCGAAAACGGGAGATCTCTTGCGATCATGTACGGTGGCATCTGGTAGATTGTTCACATTACAGCTACAAGTAGATGACTAAGAGAAGTTTAGAGGAATGCGGACCAATGGCTCACTGATGAAGGATTATGACTGTTTTAATTAAGTTTTAACCGAGAACAATGTCTTTTCAAAAGAAAAAACCAAAAGAACAGTGATTGATCATAACAGAGCATAGTAATCGAATCTACTTGGTCAGTGAATATCATACTCTTCTTCGTTGACACTTTCAAGATTATAAAATCTGCATATAGATATAACATTACAGGTCAAAACTCTTTGTTTTAGATTTTTTCAGAAATACTTTATTCTCAGTAAAAAAATTCCGTTAAAACGACCATAATCTCTCACTATCGGCCATGGTCCGAATTCTTTTACGCTTGTTTTAGTGTCACCGGGATCTACTCGTCGTTGTAATATGAAGTTAAACGATGCCTTGTTTGACTAATCTAGAATCGTATTTTAATGCAAACATGAAAACTTTGTCATGTTTATCTATATAATGTAATGAAGAAAATTGAAAAATTGAGACGATAGTAAACTTCATTATCTATATCATCATGGTTCTCTTAGCAGGAACTTTGATTTCATTGACATAGGACTAGTTTGTAAACTAGACGATTCATAAAATTATATATTCAAACAGCAAAATTTATCTGCACCCAAGCATTTGTCTTCTCTTTCGTAATATTATTACAGACTTCATTTGACTGAGTGAAAATACAACTATGATAATCAACCCGCCCCCCTCCCCCCGAAAAAAAAAATATAAACAAATGTCATCTAACAGAAAACATTATTTATTTAAATTTCTAGTGATCATTTTTTATA